ACCAAAGAGACCCTGGCACAGAATACCTGAGACCCCACAGGTCACTTGAGGGGATGAGGGACAGAGGGGAGAACACCTTCAGAAGTTTCTCATTCCCACAATCAGGGTGGGCTTCCCCCTCCAGCCTGTCACCTCCATGTGACAGTGGATGTCCCATGTGCTCTAATACCCTTGCAAAAGCTCCCTTGAGGCCCACAGCCTTTAATTCCTTTGCCTGTGGGGGGACAGCAAACCACAGWGTGAGTGCCTGCCCTGTAGACTGGCTCCCAGCTGAGAGCCAGCCCAGGCCTGCCAACTGCAAGTCCTGCAGAGCCCACCTGCTTCCCGGGTCTTTGGAGAAGGACAAGTGCCCAGCCGGACAGCCATGAGACTGTGGGGAGCCTGCTGCGTGGGATCGGGCCTTGTGTTTTCAGTGATCGGTGCTGAGCCCAGGAGCACATGTGCTAGGCCAGTGCTGCAGCCCAGAGCCACCCGCCAGCCCTGGACAGTCTTGTGCCCTTTCCACCCAGGGCCTCCTTCCCTTCCTTCCCTGGCCTCTCCCTCCTCCACCTGGGCTCCTCCCCACAGGTTCCCTGCCCTTGACCTAGTCTAGCTCACCACCTGTCCCAATCCTCTTAGAAGCAGGCCAGGCAAGCATCTGCCAGATCAAGGGGGGAAGGGCCTGGGGACAGTGGCAGACACTGCATGGAAACCAGTGTCTCCCGCTCTGAGCAGCTCTGAGGTTTCAGGCATAGCAGCAGGTGCTGTCAGGGTCTCTGGTCCCTCCACCCCAGGGAGGCGGCCTCAGGAAGGCCAGAGCTGCAGCGTCTCCTCCCCATGCGTCCTCAATGATGGACAGCAGGTGAAGCAGCGSGTAGGGCTCCCTGGGCTGCCTTTGTGTATTTAATGAAAACAGGAAAAGGAAACATTTTTCTCTTAAATACACTCAGCTCTCCAGCTGTGTATCCTGAGGATGAGATGGAAATTTGGATGTATTTATTTGCTTTTGTATATTAGAATTTCTCACCATAGAAATGCTCTTTTTTATTTTTATTTTTTTTTTTTAACAGTGCTGGGTGTTGAAGCCAGGGAGCTCCACCACCAAGCTACATTCCAGCCCTTTTTATTTTTTATTTTCAGACACGATCTCCCTAAGTTGCTGAGGCTGGTCTGGAACTTGGCATTCACCTGCCTCAGCCTCCTGAGGAGCTGGGATTACAGGTGTGCACCACCCTACCCAAAAAGTACTCTTATCTTTAAGAGGGTTTCATCTTTTCTTGCTGGGCATGCCCAGGAACTCTACTTGAGAGGCTGAGGCAGGTGGATCACAAGTCCAAGGCCAACCTCAGCAACTTACTGAGACCCTCTGGAAAAGTCCAAAAAATTACAAAGGACTAAGGAGGATATAGCTCAGTGGTAAAGCACCTCTAGATTCAATCCTCAGTACCAGAAAAAGAAAAGTCTACCGGGCTATGGTGTGGCTCCGTGGAAGAGAACTTGCTAAGGGTGCACGGGAGGTCCTGGGTTCAATCCCCAGCACCACAAAGAAAAGAATCTTCTTGGTGCTTCTCCCTCTCTGCCAGTCGCAGCCCTCCACTGTCCGGCTGTCTGGATCCTGGTCTCCATCTGTGCCTCGCCTCCTAGGGCCCCTTTTGGTAGGCCTCCTGTCCTTCCCCTGCTCCACACCTGACTCCCCTCGTGCTGTGTCTCTGTCACTGAGCCCTCCGCCTTGCTCAACCAAGCACCGCCCTGTGACCGGGGCCAGCTGCTACACCTCTGAGCCTCAGCAAGCCCAGCCGTGAAGCAGGGGTTCAAGCCATTCACAGGCTGTCCATAGTGACTCCTTCCAAAGAGGACAGTGTGGGAAGGGGGAGGAGTAGCCTCACAGCAGAGGAACCCCGAAAACACTGCTCACCGGGTAATCCAACAGGTGTTCTTTTTCTATTCTTTTTTGTCTCTTTTGAGACAGGGTCCCGCTAAATAGCTTAAGGCTTTGCCGAATTGTTGAGGTTGGCTTTGCATTTGTGATCCTCCTGCCTCGGCCTCCAGAGACMCTAGGATGAAAGGCGTGCACCGCTGCGCTGGCTATTGTTTTGGTGGCGGTGGATGCCCAGATGGAACCCAGGTGCGCTTACCCACTGACCCACACCCCCCGCTTTTTTAATATTTTATTTGGACTCAGGATCTCCCTAAATTGCTGAGGCAGGCTTTGAACTTGTGATCCTCCTGCCTCAGCCTCGTGACCTGCTGGGATTACAAGTGTGTGCCCCCCCGCGCCCAGAACGTTCTCGGGAATGCTCAGATCATCTCCTCCAAGGGCTCGGGTCAGACACCCTCCTAATAAACCTTTTCCCAGTACCAAAGATTAATTAAAGCGCTGGCACCGWACGAGACCGTTAAAGCTCCTAAGCCCCACGATAGTGTGCAGTCCGCTCCCTGCTCCCGCCCCCTGCCTTCCGCAGGCTCCGCATCCTCTGCCCTCCTCTGGTGGCCGCAGTTCTCGCCAGAGCCCGTTCTCTGACCCTGGAACCATGTAGCCATCGTCTTAGGCCAGGCTAGACTGGGCAGCGCAGAGTTGGATCCGATTTGCAGGGAGGAGGGGGCAGACGTGACCGGCCGCGGGAGGGGCGGGGCGAGCTCGGCGGGGCGAGGGACGCGCTCACCGCAGACCCTGGGAGGGGGTGCACGGAACAACCCGCGCACTGAGTACCCGAGGGGACCGAGAAGGGAGGGACAAGGGGGCAGAGGAAGGACGTGGATGGGGCAGAGAGAACGCCCTGGAGCAGAGACGGCTCGCTCCCCTGGCCGCGGAAGTGTCTGCACAACCTAGGTCCGAACTCCAGGTTGACCTTGGGCCCTGGGCTCGGCCTACCTCGTGGTCTCCCTCCCCACGAGGGGTCCCGTTTCCTCATCCAGAATTACTGATCCCTGGCACGTGTGTTGGTGGGACCCGTGCTGCGGTTCATGCCTTCTCCGGCCCTCTGGCTGGAGTCGAGAGCAAGGCAGCCGCAGGCCGGAAGAGCCGGCCAGTCGGCCGTGAAGGGATCCCTCCCGGAAGGCCGCTTCCTGCGAGCTGCGGCGCTAGCAGGGTCTCCGCGGGAAGAGCAGGCAGCCCCCGAGGGCGGCCAAGCTCTGGGCTTCTCCCCCAGGACTCGGTGCACAGGAAGCCCTGGGACTCATAATTCCAGGAACCTCAAGCTTTCCAGAATCTCACTGTTACCGCGCAGCGGGGCAAAAGGCTAGACTTCATCAATCGCTCCACAAATATCAAGTTGGCAGGAAAGCTAGTCGCAGTGGCGCACGCCTGTAATCCCAGAGGCTTGGGGAGGCTAGGGCAGGAGGATCGCAAGTTCTAAGCCAGCCTCAGCAATTTAGTGAGACCCTATCTCCAAATAAAATCTTAAAAATAGGGCTAGGGGTGTTACTCAGTGGTTAAGCACGCCTGGTTTCCACCCCTGATAAGATTTAGAAGCGGACAACTCTTCACAGAACCATCACCGGGAGCAGCCCTTGTAGGTACCTCGGGGTCCCACAGCCTGCCCAGATGAGATCAGAGAACTAAGACCTTTGTGCAGCCCCATCCCAGCAGCTGGAAGGACAGAGTCTACCCTCTTGTGCAGGGACTCTGTGGTTCTTTGAGCACTGCTCACTTTCCTCCTGGATTGTAAGTTCCTTGAGGAAGGGGCCAAGACATTACTCCCCAGAGGGACCCAGGTCATGCTTTGCATGCACTGAGCACAATAAGAAGAGCTGACTCTCCTTGTCCATGCTGGTCACTTTCATAGAGTGGCCCTGAACACTGGATGAAATATGTCCATGTTGTCCCTGGATGCCTCCCCTCCTGGAGCGCACTAKATCTTCGTCTGTTTTGTCCACCACTGAACACCAGCAGGCAGAACAGGACCTGGCCCATAGGATGTGGCCAGAATTTGCCGAGCAGGCACACGTGCAAAGCCCATCTTAGAAGACACCCCTGCAGGGCCACTCTCCTGCCAGCCSCCTCCCTCCAGAGAAGCCCAGACCCCAGACTTCCCTGTCAATCACCTCTCATTTTAAATGGGACTTGCTTCCAAGGGATTGTGGCAACCCTGAGTCCCTCAGCTGTGCTCGGGCTGGTGGTCCTTCCCAGGTGAGCCTGCCCACCTTGCCAGTGGTCATGTTAGCCTGGTCTGGGGTCTTTGCTCCAGCTGGTTACTCTTTCTGAAGTGGCCACCCCACTCCGTGAGCACCTAACCCTCAGCACCCCACCCCCAACTGGCCCACTGGTTTGGTCACAGAAGCAGGAGACAGCGTCCCACCAGCTGGGACAAAGCCATTGGCAACATCACGACTTTTATTTGTGGTGCCTGTGCTTTATCTTGAAAATACCTTCTCCCCCTCCCCAGACAATGGGTGAGGAGGGGGCAGCAAAAAATAGAAGACGTCCCTCCTTATTGCACATGGACCCTATATACAGGCCCACCTGGCGGAGGCCGGTGGGTCTCTTGGCACACTGCTGGATCCCTGCTCGGGAGGGGGAGAGTGCTGGGGTGGCATCACACGTGAGGTGGGGACCACCGGGACAGCCACTCTGGTCCTGACTACTACCCTGGCAATTCTTGGTCCTGTGTCCTTCCTGGTCCCATTTCTGGCCCCAGTCCCCTCTTGGCAACATCCCCCTACCTGGCTCAGCCTCCCACCTCCATCCTGGCCTCAGATGGCCCCCTTGGCTCCTGGGAACTCTGAGCTTCCCTCCCAGTCTTGAGGCCCCAAGAGGCAGTATGGCTTCTCAGTGACTTCCCCTGGAGCCCTGTCACTCGTGTTCACTCGGGGAAGGGTGCGTGTGGCAGAAGCAGCTGTATAAATACGGGTGCGGGAGAAGTCCTCCAAGTCACTTGGACAGTTTGCTAATGACCCGGATCAGTGCTGCGTTCTCGTCCTTGAGCCGCTGGTTGTCAGCCCGGAGATCAGACAAGGCCTGGGTATGGAACAGAATCAGTGGGCAGCCCTGGGCAGGCGGTGACCCGCCCACAGCATCCCAGCACCCACCTTCAGCTCCTCCTCCAGCTCCGCGGCCTTCCGCTCCAGGGCCCTGCGCTCCTGGAATCAGCAGGCAAGGTCAGAAGCCAGTGGGCTGAGAACTCAGGGTGGGGCAGACAAGGGGGCAGGTCAGTGTGACCCTCCTGGTCCAGACCCACGGGGTTAAGGCTGGGGCACAGTAGTTCCCACCCCAGCTGCCCCCACTCACAAATCTCTCCAGCTCCAGGAGGGCCGGCCTCTCAGCAAAGCGTTCCTGCCGCTGGCCAGAACAGAGAGAAGGCACAGGGTCAGGAAGACAGAGGGCCTGCTGTGGTGAGGGCAGTGCAGGATGCTGGCCCAGACCTTCCTGTCCTTAGGTCAGGCGGAAGCCAGGGACATGACAGGCCACGTAAAAGCTAGGCCCAGATGGAACCCGGAGCTGTAGCTCAGGCCCTCCGCCCGGAGGYCCAGTCCTGGTGCGCTGGTCCCTGCGGTGCAGCCTGGCACTCTCACCTGCGTGGCCCGCTCCAGCTCCACCTTGAGCTGTGCCAGCCGCAGCGTGGTCTCAGTCAGGGCCTCACGAAGGCGCTCGTTCTCCCTGCGCAGCTCTGCATACAGCTGGGGGCGAGGAGAAGGCCAGCAAGGTCAGGGCGGGGGCCAGGGAAGGGCGGGACCTGGGGGCCTCCAGCAGGTGGAGCTTCGAACAGGGCCAGGGCGGTGGGCAGGTGAACACATGTGGGGTGGGTTCTCGAACCTTCCTGAATCCCCCCTCAGGCTCTTCGGGCTCGGGCTTGGGCTCCAGGTGGATGTCACGCTGCACACGCTGCCTGCGGGCTGAGGGGCCGCCATCGGGAATACTGGAATGGGAGGCGGGGCAGGCGTCACAGGCTTCGTGGTCACAGACAGCCCCCATCCGCCCAGCCCCGCCCACCAGCACGTACCTGCACTCGGGACTGCCGTCTGCCGGCTCCGCCTCCTCCCCCTGAGGAAGGGCGAGGGGGGTTCAACCGGACATGGAGGGGGCACCGCCCGCCCGCCCCCAGGTCCACCTGAGCGCCCTCACCTCCGCGGGGCCCCTCCACTCCTTGCTGACCTTCGGGTAGTCCCTGGTTGCCCGTGGTCCCTGGCCCTGCCCGTCGGGCGCCTCTGCTGGGGAGGGGCAGGAATCAGCCCAGAAGCCTCTGCAGGAGCCCGTGAGGGGTGAGGGGCGCCCTGGGTTCCGCACCAGGAAGCACGAAGGCCAGGGGGAAGAGCGCAGGTGGCCAGCGGGAAGCAGAACTCACCTCTCTGGGCAGGGCCCTCAGAGTCCTCCACTCCAGGGACTCGGGGCCTGGGGGACGGGGCAGGCTCCTGCAGGGGAAGGGGTGGGAGTCGGCTGGATGCGTCTGCACCGCCCTCCGCCGCCCACCGCCGCCCACTGCCACCCGCGGGCCTGGCCAACCCTGCTCACCAGGCCGGGCAGGGGCGACTGCTCTGGCTCTGGGGCCCTCCCTGCCGCCTTCTCAGCCTCCTTTAGGTCTGTCAGAGTCACACCCTGGCAGAGAGAAGGGAGAGTGGGCCACCTGACCCGGGAGTCCAGACCCGCCCCCACCCCTCAGGCCCCAGGGGCTCAGACCCCAGCCCTCCTCCCGCAGCCCCAGGCCCGGAGCACAGTCCGCCCCCCACACCTGGGTAGACCTCCGAGACTGGCGCATGAGGCGGGAGCGAGCCTTCCGCTGGGACTCAGACTCCTCATCCCGCACAGGCATCTGGTAGGACCTGAGTGAAGGACCCGACCTCAGGGAGCATTCCTTGGAGCCGTCCCCCTTCCCTCTCTAGGCGGCAAGTACGGAGGACTTCCCAACAAGCCCTGGGACTTGGTGTCCCTCAGAGCCCCCAGAGCCCGGGGCTCCTGGGCAATGCACTTTTCCCCTTCACACGCAGGGCTCCCTGCCCTGGCCCCTCTACCTTCTACGGTCCCGGGAGTCGGCTGGGGATGCGGCAGAGGCTGCGGGGACATGTGGCTTCACTGGGGATCCAGGCTCTCTCCTGCAGGAAGGAGAGGAGTTACTGAGGAAGGAGGAAGCTGGGCAGCCCCAGGCCGTGTGGATCCATTCCCTCCCCAAGGACTACTCCAGTGGAGTCAAGAGCCCAGTCATGGCAGCTGGGACACTCAGCTCTGAGCAGGGGCACCAGGCAGGCGACAGCCCAAAAGCAGAGCAAAAGCTGAATGGCTGCACTGGATGAAAGAGACAGGGGAGGACCAGAAGGGACTCAGGTAGAGGGGACATGTGAAGAGAGACCCCAAGGGGAGGAGGGGAAGCCCCAGTATGTGAGGGGAGGCAGAGCAAAGGCCCTGGAGCAGGAGAGGGAGAGACCAGCAGATCACAGTGGACCTCAAGTTCTGAGCTTGTACTTGACTTGCCAAAGGGAACCGAGGTAGTGTTGGGGAGGAGAAAAAGTAGCCCCAGGGAGCCAATGGACTTGCTCAGGATGCTGCTGCTAGGCCTGGGACCCAGACCTGCTGTCCCCCCGCCCAGGGTCCCCTGGAGCTCACAGTGGAGAGGGCTCTGGCACCTTCCGTGAGGGAGTCAGGGGAATTCTGGCAAGACGAGGCTCTGTGGCCTGCAGAGAGGAGGAGAGCAAGAGAGGGTATCTCCTGGGGAGGCAGGGCTGTCCCTGCCCACCTCACTTGCCTACCTGAGCAGTGGTCCCTTCCAGCTGGGAGGAGGAGGCCGACCGCTGCAGCCCAGCTCCAGGGGCTGCCGCGGCTCCCCGCTGTCCCGGGGGACCCAGAGCACCAGAGCTCCCCGTCTTCTGCAGGTGAAAGCGCCTGGGGAAGGGGGTCTCTTCGGGCGGCTGGGCGAAGGAGGTCTGGGTTATGGAGAARGACCCCTCTCCTCAGAGGCTCCCAGTGCTGACCCCAGGAGGTCCATGACAAACCCCACTCCCACCAGCTCTGGAGGAGCCACCACAAAAGGCACTCAGTTGTCCAGGATGTGTGGACAGTCTCAACCCACCCACTCTTGCCCAGAGGCCAACAGGCTTTATGGCCTCCCAGGACCTCTGGACACCCACACTAACCAGAGGGCTCGTAGGGCTGGGTGGAGGTGGGGAGGACACGCCATTGAGGGTTCTGGGTTCTGTAGGGGGTGGCTCTGTGGTGTGGGAACATGGGTGGAAGTTACACAATTACCAGCTGCTGATAATCCGAGATCCAAGCCCCTCCTCCCTCAGACCCAGGGTCCAGGCCCAGCCCCCTCCCTCAGACCCAGGGTCCAGGCCCAGCCTCCTCCCTCAGACCCAGGGTCCAGGCCCAGCCTCCTCCCTCAGACCCAGGGTCCAGGCCCAGCCTCCTCCATCAGGCCCAGGGGTCTAGACTATGGCCCCACCTGTGAGGCCTTCATCTCCCTCATCCTCGTCCCGGATGGGAGGCCCCCCTGCCCCACTGGGCCTGCGCTCCTTGGACAGATCCTGGAGGGAGATCTTCTCACGGCTGCTCAGGCGACACACAGAGCTCCTAGGGATAGGAGAAGGTGTGGGTGACCGCACCCTGGGGGCTGTCCTCCCCTGGGGGCCATCCTCCCCTGGGGCTCCTCTGCCTACCTCCTGTGCTTGGTGCTGGAGGGCACCTGGGGCTCTTGGCCCCTGCTCTGAGATGCCTCCTTTTGGTTCCGAAGCTGCAAGGAGGGAAGGAGACTGCTGGCAGATAGCGCTGGCTGGCCCTGTGCCGCACCTCCCAACCTGAGGGTCACCACAGAGCTGTGGTCCCAGTGGTGCCAGGGGCATCTCATGCAGGGTGCACCAACCACAGAGAGCTGTTTCTTGGGCAGTGGAGGATCTGTGATTTACTCAAGTGGCCTACACCTGGCCAAGCAGCACCTGAAGAGGAGGTGCCCTGGTCCAGCAGACCAGAGCTGCCACAGGCAGGTGCTGATACCTGTCCTCACGTGCACCCACCCCAGGATTAGCCTCCAGTCTCCAGAAAGGGGACTTTCTGGCTCCCAGGGACACCTGCTYAACCCTTCTCCCTGTCCTCACACACCAGGACACTAGCCCAACCCTTGCTGCCCCCAGGATTGATAGGTAGTCCTGGCCCCCCAGCTCAGGGCTTGCCCCAGGGACAGCCCTGGTGAGCAGAGGACAGAGCATCCCAGGCTGCTGTTGTCCTCCTCTGCACCTTCACCCAGGGGAAGTGCTGAGTGCTCCAGGGACTGTCCTCCAGAAAGTGCTCCCCAGCACCCCAGGCCCCTGCCCAGGCCAYCTGGCATCCCACAGTGACCCACGCCTCCTCTACACTGTTTCCCAGCAATGAGGCCCGCCCGGGGTGGCTGGGGACAACTAGGGTGAYGGGCCTCAGAGCTGGCCCTGAGCAAGGCCTACAGCCCCCACAGCATCCCTCTGCCTGCCACTAGGTAGCAGGAAGCACTGTGCCCCTCACCCCCCTCCTCTAGCTGCAGCTGTGCCCCATTCACAGTCCTCTGCTGGAGCTGGGTCACCAGGCAGGAAGAGCACTCTGTGGCAGAGAGTGTCAGGGCACGGGGCGGTCCTCGCCAGCCGCCTCCCTGGAGCTGCTGGGAAAGGAGGGACCTGGCCTGAGACTCACGTCCTCCTGTTTCCGGGCMAGCTCCTCCAGCAGGCTCAGCACTTCCTCATCAGCCAGGTCACAGGGACGCTGCCCCTGGGTGGAGGGAGGARAGGGACAGATAACAAATGAGGGGCAGGCACCTCTCTCCCACTCCACCCGCCACCGCCTGGGCACTGGCCTCACCGCATGGGTCAGCGAGTCCATGCCGCCACCGTGCTCGGCCAGCAGGCGGCAGGCGTCCTCCACGCCCCAGTGGGCCGCCGCATGCAGAGGAGTCCAGCCATCCCCATCCCGGAGCTCTGGGTCGTAGCCTGCCTGCAGGAGCAGCCTGGGGACGGGGAGGCTGGGGTCAAGGACCACAGYGGGATGTCTGGGCTAAGGGCTGACAAGCCAGCTGTGCTGTGGCCATGGTACCAGTCCGTACTATATCCCAGCACTCCTGGATCCACTGGGGAACAGCCACTGCCCAGGCTTCTCCCGCCAAAGGACCCTGGGCCACCCACCCTGGCCAGCCTCTGGAGCCTGGTCCTCATGCCCAGAGAGGAAACTTTTCAGGTCAGCTGGTATGGGATCCAGGGGCAGCCCCAGAGGAGGTGGGTGSAAGGCTCCCCCTTTCAGGCCTCCAGCCTGTGAAGAAGAGACCTCCCCAAAGGGGCCATCTCGGGGCCTGAATGCTGGGACCGCATTGGCTTGGGCAGTGGTGCTCAGTGGTGTGATGCTCACACACCACACGGCTGGAGGCTCTGCTGGATGCCATGGCTTAGGGGTAGGGCAGGGCCGCTCATATCCCACCAGGTGCAGGAGACCCCCTGGCTGCAGAATAGCCTGGCCCAGCAACTCCTGGCCAAGCCAGCTCACCAGCGAAGGGTCAAGTCCCCAATAGCTCAGTCAGGGCCACAGGCAGGATTGTGAGTCCAGAGAATGCCTCAAATTCAAAATAGGGTAGGAGGAGCCTAGTTTGAGGGAGCTGGAGCTCTAGTCTGTTGTAAGAAAGACAGGTGGGGATGACCCCCGGTGGCTGGACTCCAGGCACTCTGTGGGGCCTGYTGACTCTGCCACTTGCCTCCCGCAGGCTGTATTGGACCCCCGGCTTCCGTCTCTCCACGCACCTGTGCCTTGCGCCTGCACTGGCTGTCCGCCCACTTGGTGCCTGTGCCRGGGCCTGCAGCAGGTGACCCCTCTCACCAGCTGCCTCCTGACCACCAAATCCCAGGCAGGCCTCTCCCATCACACTCATCTTCTCTGTCCCTAGTCTACACTTCCAAGTCACGGCCATCAACTGGGATGCTGCCACACCCAGAGGACATGGGACAGTGTCCAGAGCCACTTCTCACACCTGGGGGATGTGCTTCTGGCGTCTCGTGGGCAAGGATGCAGCTTAACGTGCTACAGGGCACAGGATGGCCCCAGAGCAGAAAGGCGCAACCCACCACGTCTCCCCCGCGGGCCCAGATCCATCCCATCCCTGTGCCCCCAGCACCTAACAGGTATCAGAGACAAGCTTACTGCTACTCTCCACTTGTCCTTTTGGTTTAGCAACACTGTGAACTGAACCAAGGGCCTCATGYGCRCTAGGCCAGCACTATACCACTGAGCTACACCTTACACCTCAGCCCTTTCTTTCCACTTTGAGACAGAGTCTGGCTAAATTACAAAGGCTAGCCTCAAATTTGTGATTCTCCTGCGTGTTTTTCTTGTAGTGAGAAATTGTAACACAACTTTCACAGTGCCTGAGAGAATAAGGGGACACACTTCTGGGACACGGAAGGTATAACAGCTCACTTACATGGCCACCATGAGCCCAGCACAAATGCCACACCTGGTAGTGCAGTTCTTGCCCAGCTTACACACCCTGGTATAATTCAAATATCACAAACTGAACAGCTGGGTCCTACAGGGTCCATTTTCTTTTCTCTCTCTCTTTTTTTTTTTTTTTTTTGGTACTGGGAATTGAACTCATGGGCACCTGACCACTGAGCCACATCCCCAGCCCTATTTTGTGTGTGTGTGTGTGTGTGTGTGTGTGTGTGTCTGTATTTTGTATGTCTGTATTTTGTATTGGGACACAGTCTCACCAAGTTGCTTGGCACCTCACCATTGCTAAGGCTGGCTTTAAACTCGTGATCCTCCTGTCTCAGCCTCCCCAGGAGCTGGGATTACAGGTGTGTGCCACGCGCCTGGCTCAGATTTAGTTTTCTGGCCATAGTGCAACTAAGCCAGGGGATCAGTAATGAAATGATAATTAGAAATTTCCGCAAACTTGAAAATTAAGGACCCACTTCTAAATCCACAGATCAAAGAAAGATCACAGATGTTAAAGTTCACAGTGAATGACAATGAAAAGACCACTGTGCAGCTCAGCGGTACTGTGTTCAGGGGGAACTCGCAGGTGCGGCCTGGAAGTTGCAARGAAAAGGACAGCAGCACAGGAGCCAGAGACGGCAGAGGGCTGCTGCTGGCTCACCTCATCACCTCGATGTAGCCCTTGGCGGCGGCCACGTGCAGGGCGGAGGCCCCCGTGCGGGGATGCCGGGCCTCGGGCATGGCGCCCCCGTTCAGCCAGCACCTGGTGTCATGGAGCAGCAACTCCTCCTCGGCCCGCTTGGCTGCCTCCACATCCACACCTGGAGCAYGATAAGGGGTAACAGGTGGGCCTGTGCATGGCCGCACTGCGGGCTGGCCACAGATCAGCAGGAAGGGCCAGCCCTGTGTGCCACCAGGGTCTCTGGCAGGCTGCTGAGCGCCTGGGCCTTCTCCCATCCCGTCAGGGAGCCGCCTTCACTCTTTGCGAAGGAAAACACAGCGCTCATTGAGCAAACCCAGGCTTGGTGGGCACCCACCCGGCATCACCGCAACCCAACCCGAGACGTACCCCAGACCCGAGCACAGCGGGTAGGAGTGTGACACCAAGCAGATCGCCACACTGAGCACGTGCCTCGCTGCTCACCACCCGCAACTGCACTGCCCACCAACAGGTAGAGCAGACAGTTCCACAGGCTAATACAAGCACAGGCTCCCGAGGCCAGAACACTGAAAAGCTGGCTGCGCATGGCTCCAGGCAGGCTCAAGGGGCCGAGCTGACCCACTGTCTGCTGTCAAGAGCACCTCCGGAGATGGGAGGCGAACAGGTATCTTTCTAGGGACTATTTCTTCCCTGGGACGACTATCCTGGCCTATTGTGTGTGGTTGCAATGCTGGGGTGGAACCCAGGACCTCACTCACTAGCCACTGCTCTCCCACTGAGCCACATCCCAGCCCTCTTACCTTCCAATTGTGCAATTTTGTTACCAAGATGCTGCACTGAGCCCATAGCCTCAGATAGCTACTGAGCCCTTGCAATGCAGCAAGTTTAAATGGAGATGTGTTGGAAGTGTAAAGTGCCTGCTGGATTTTGACATATGGGAAAAAGAAGGTAAGGTGACCACTCCATRAAGTTTTTCTTTTTTGCAGTACCAGGGATTGAACTTGGCACTCGACCACTGAGCCACATCCCCAGCCCTACTTTGTATTTTATTTAGAGACAGGGTCTCACTGAGATGCTTAGTGCCTCTCCATTGCTGAGGCTGGCTTTGAACTCACTATCCTCCTGCTTCAGCCTCCCAAGCCGTTGGGAGGTGTGCACCATCATTCCCCGTGGCTCATGAAGTTTTTTTAAAACCTGATTACAATATGTAACAATGTTTTGGGTATACTGAACTAAATAAGCATTTCTTTATTTAGGCATTCGGTTTGAGCCCAGGGGCACTTAACCACTGAGCCACATTTCCAGCTGTACGTATGTATTTTGTTACTAGGATTAAACCCAGAACACTTAACCACTGAGCCACATTCCCATCCTTTTTTTATATTTAGATACTGGGTCTCACTAAGTACTAAAAATGGCTTTGAACTCACCATCCTCCTGCCCCAGCCTCCTGAGCCGCTGGGATTACGGGTGTGTGCCACTGTGCCCAGCTCTTTTTGAGACAGGCTCTCATTTAATTGCTGAGGCTAGTTTGTTTGTTTGTTTTTTTAATATTTATTTTTTAGTTATCGGCAGACACAACATCTTTGTTTGTATGTGGTGCTGAGGATCGAACCCAGGCGAGCGTGCTACCGCTTGAGCCACATCCCCAGCCCCCTGAGGCTGGTTTTAAACTTTCATTCCTCCCATCTCAACTTCCCAAGTTGCTAGGTTTACAAGTGTGGCTACTGCACCTGGCTTGTTTACTTCTGAAGCAGGGAACCTAGGGTACAATGCATGCTAGGCAATCAGTCTACCACTCAGTACATCCCTAGCCCTAAGTAAGATAAATTATTAAGATTAATGTTTTTTTTTTTTCTTKGCAGTGCTGGGGATTGAACCACTGAGCTATGTCCTCAAACCTTTTTATATTTTGAGACAGRGTCTTACTAAATTGCCTAGGCTGGCCTTGAATTTGCAATCTTCCTGCCTCGGCCTTCCAAAATCCTGGGATTATAGGTCTGTACCTCCACACCTGGAACCCCNTCCTGGGATTATAGGTCTGTACCTCCACACCTGGAACCCCAGTTTCTTTTTTTTTTTTTTGAAAGAATTTTTAAGATTTATTTTTTAGTTCTCGACGGACACAACATCTTTGTTGGTATGTGGTGCTGAGGATCGAACCCGGGTCGCACGCATACCAGGCGAGCGCGCTACCGCTTGAGCCACATCCCCAGCCCCCCAGTTTCTTTTTATTGTTAAAAATGCATCAACTTAAAATTTTAGTCTTTTGGTCACTACATTGCATTTCCCCTGGATGGCAATTGCAAAGAACCCTCATGTACCACTACCAGCTTAAAAAGTAAATATTACAGTGGGGCATGGTGGTGCACTCATGTAATCCCAGTGACTCTGGAGGCTGAGGCAGGAGGATCACAAGTGCACAGCCAGCCATGGCCCTAAGACCTTGTCTCGAAAAAGAAAACCATTAACACAGAATGTTAATGGTTAAGCACCCCTGGGTTCAACCCCCAGTACCAAAAATATAAATATCACAGAGCCAACATAAGGGCTGTGTGCCTTATCCCAATTTTACTCCACTCCCTCTGGCCCCCAAGTTTGCCACAATGAATATATGCTGTTGCTTGTGCCCTGACTACATATGGCAAACTTCTGCCATAACCCAATAAATGGGATCCAACACATGCAATCCTGGAAACTGTGATACGGTGCCAAATCCACCCAGGCTCTCGGTCTCAGCTCCAAGATGGTCAGTCGGGCCTTCTGGGGTGGCTTGCAGGGACAGTGACTTCAGGCCCGTCTCCTTGGCTAGAGCCATCYGGTGGCTGGAGAACACTGCGGTGACACTGGACACACCCTCTCGCCCCACCCCTTCCTCAGTGGAGCCCCCTGTTGGGGCACAAGTTCTCCCACAGGGAGGGGAAGGCAGAGTTCACTTTCTACTTGGCCAGCAGCGTGCCAAGCACAAGCGTACACACATGTGCGTGTGTCGCCTTCTCCAACTCACTCTGCTCCCTCAACCTTTGCTGAGGTGTTGGTGAGGTCTCTTGCTTAGCGTTGGCAAATTGTGGTCTGCAGGCGCGGGCACCCGTTTTGTTTTTCACTTCTCATGGTGGTGGTAAAATAAACAAGACAAAACACATTTCCCTATTTGAAAGGGCAGAGTCCTTTGGGGATATCCACCAAGTGTGCAACSAGTGCTACTACCCAGGCCTGAGCGTTCTGGTCATCCCAGATGGAAACCGAGACCCCACTGCGCCTCGGCACCTCCACAGCCAGCCTGTTCCAGAGGCCTATGTTTGCAGGTGGAGCCTCAGYGGCACACAGCCACCCATGCCTGTTCTTTCTCACATGACCCAGGCCCTCTTCCCTCTGCAGCAGCTGGGGGACCAGTCAAGACATCAGCCCTGGAATGTCTACTGTCYAGCCCTTTTCAGAAAAGGTCTGCTGTCCCCTGCTCAGATCACCCACTGGTAGGTCACTGCTTCGTCCATTCTGTCTTTGGAGTGGGCTCGAGCCTCTCAGCACTGCCAAAAATACTAGAACAACTTTTTTAAATGTTTTAATTTTTTGATAGGGTGTTGCAAAAGCTGGCCTTGAACTTGTAATCCTCCTGCCTCAGCCTCCCCAGACACTGGGGTTACAGACAGGCATCACCATGCCCAGCTCTGATTTTTCTGGGGAGGGTTTTTGTGGGGTTTTGTTTTTGTTTGTATTAGGGATTGAACCCAGGGACGCTTAATCACTGAGCCAATCAACAGCCCTTTTTACTTTTTGAGAGAGGGTGTCGATAAGTTGATGAGGCTGCTTTTGAACACAGGATCCTCCTGCCTCAAYCTCCCTGAGTTGCCAGGGTTATAGGCGTGACCACCATGCCTAGCTGGCAGGGGATTCAAGGTTACCCACAGAAGTGGAAATCACACGGGACTGTCTGTGGACTGGGCTCATTTTACTGGCTGCCCTCAGGTCTCAGCCTTGCTGTAGCCGTGTCAAGAGTTCCCGTGGTGTGAATGGGTCGCATTTCATCTATCCACCACCAGGTCGCTCAGGGCTGTGCTGTGAACGCGGTGCGTGCACCCTTTTTCCGACTTGCACCAGGGTGGAGAACAACCTGCCTGCCTCAGCACTCCACTCCGTGGACCAGGGGCCTGAGGTAAGCTGGCCTAGGCCCCTGCTGTCAGAACCCCCACTGCACAGCAGCCTCAGAGAGGGGAACAGGGAAGGGGACAGCTGCCTAGGACAGAAGGAGCTGTCAGGAGGACCAGTCCCCAGRGGATTCTCCATCTTCTGGATGCTGAGGGCCAGCAGGAAGTACAAAAGCCTCTTTGCAGCTGGGGTGCAGGCTGCAATCCAGGCCTTGCAACTGTCAGCAGAGGCCCTGACACTTGGGGGCTGTGGTCTTGGGGTAGCATCCCAGCCCAGCCCTGAAGCTGAGGTCCTTCCACTAGTGCCACTGTCCTTTGTTCCTGGCTAATCCCACAAGCCAACATTTCCCAACCATATATCATTCCTCAGCCTCTCCTTTGCCCCACAGCAATGGAGTGTGGGCCCCTCTGAGAAACTGGGGTCAACTACAATTTCTGCCATTTCTTCAGATAACACAGAATGTTCATGCCCCACCCCACCCCCAGGTCTGGGGACTCCAGGTGAAGACCTACAAGGGGTGTGCAGTGACTGTCCTTGTTGGAGACGCCAGCTGAGTATCAGGGGCCAAGAGTTCAATCTGCAGCAGTCTCAAAGTGGCTCAGAAATGGGATGAAGAGAGGGAGGAAAGGAAAAAAAGAAATGCATTTATGTCTCTATGTATGGGAAGAAGGAAGTGAGGAGGATGGGAAGGGGAGTATGAGCATGCACACCATCAGAGGACCCTCAACACTGGTCCCCACCTGGGGATGCCCAAGAGGGGCATCCACTCAGAAAGCAGGCCAGTGGGTGCCTAGGGCTTGGGGTGAACTGGAGGAGGGCTAAGGCCTGTGGGGTTCCTCTCGTGGTACTGACTGCACAACTCTGAATGTACTAAAAACCACTGAATTGTGCATTTCAAATGGGTAGATTACAGGATATGTGAAATATTTCTTTAAAAACTGCTTTTAAAACAGTGACTATCAGCAGAGGTTACACGGGCATTCATACGGGCATTCATTACACTATTGGTTCAACTTCTGTGAGAATTATGTTATTCCAAAATAAAGTAAGGAGACAGGAGGGGAGAGCCTAGTTCTGCAGCTGATGGTATGGCCTCCCCCACTGAGCCCCAAGGGCGCTCCCAACCTCCCATGGCCTCCATCCCACCTGCTCAACATGCCAGCGCCCAGCCCATAGGCCTCTCCACCCAGGCAGAGACGTGCAAGGCAGACGAGCCGGGAATCTGGGCACCACCTCCAGCTTCTGCTCCTCGCCAGCCTCCCTTACCTCCCAAATGGTCCTCCAGACCCACAGATAGCACTGTGCCCGCACTGGGCCCTGACAAGGTGACAGGTACACTGTCCCTGCTTTATGAACTAAAGAAGCCGAGCTTCAGGAACACTGGAGTCAAACAGCTGGCCATACGTGGCACTGGGAACCAAGCCCAGTCAGGCTGCAGAAGCCACACTTGCAACCAGGGCTCCTCCAGGGGTATCCCACAGGTATCCCCTGCTCCCAAGGACCAAAATGGGCTGCTCAGCATCCCCCACCCAACATGCTCCTGGAAATCCTTGCTTCTATCCCTGAACTGGGGAGCTGTGGCCACTCAGTTTACACCAACCAGCCCCTGAACACAATTCTCAGGAAGATGAGGTGCTCGCACCCTCAACTAGCCCTGGAGAACCTTTCTAAGCAGGACACCCCTCCCTAGAGACACAAGTGCTACCACACAGAGACTGAAGAGGCTCCTGAACCCCACTGGAAGAACCCAGGGTACACAAGCTTCAGGCCTCAGGGGAGACCAGTGCCCAAAGACCCCTGTAGGCCTCTGCTCCCCCTCAGAAAACACCTCTGGCTCTCATGCAACCAAAAAGGGGGTGCGCTTTCCCATGCACAACAACCTGGGGGATCTCCCCAAGCACAAGCACTAAACCCACCACTTCACAACCAGGAAACAGAGACACAGAAATGCCAGAGAAGCCTGGAGGTGGGCTGGGCCTGCACCCAGGCAGCCTGATACGGCAGCACTCGACCTGTATGTAACACAGAGGCCCACCTCGGTGGGCGATCTCCGCCTTCAGCAGCCCCTCCATGGCGTCCGACTCGGCCAGGTCCAGGGGCAGGTCACCATCACTGTTGACGGCGGCAATGTTGGCCCCATGGCTCAGAAGGTACCTGGAGGCAAGGGCAGGTCAGGGCTGCCAGGTCTGGGCCCACCACCCAGTCCAGGTCCTGCCCACCCCCTGCCTCACCTGGCAATGTCCAGGTACCCACAGGAGGCAGCCACGTGCAGGGGTGTCCAGCCCTCATTGTCCGCCTGGTTCACAGTGGCACCCTGCTCCACTAGGAAGCGCACCACCTCCAGGTTCTCGTCGATGCAGGCCTGGGGAGGGGACAAACCCATCAGCTGGGCCTCACCTTGTCCTCCCATGGAGGCCCAGCAAGGCAGGACTCCTGAAAGGACCACGAAGCAGACCCAGGGGTCCAGTGAAAGCGGCCCTGGAGAAAAGGGCCCTGATGGCCACTAGCACAGGTCCTGAGGCTCCTCTGGTCACCCAGCCATTTAAGACATCCCTGGCTACCCCATGATTAGGCCAGCTGAGTGTCCAGCATTCAGTGAGACAAGAGGACCTCAGCAGCCTGAACAGGACCCAGATAGAGAAGGGACAGGATACCACAGCCTGTATGGAACGCCTCGATGGCACTGTGACAGAGCACAATCCACACTCACTACCTGCAAGACAGGGCTTCCCGTGTTCTAAGGGGTGAGGCCCAGCCAGGCTGGAGAACACTTGGCAGCAGACCCTCCAGGGACTGTCCTTGAGGGGAGCCAGGACTCTGCAAGGCTGGTAAAGTCACCACATCCCCAAGACAACCAGGTTCGAGGGCAAGATTCCCACAAGGGGCATGTTCCCTGTGCCTAAGGCCCAAGCAGACGGCCCTCCGGCAGCCAGAAGCCTACTGTGCACTCGGCCATCCTTTCTGATCCCCCTGCCCTGAGCAACTGAAAGCTCAGGGAAACCAGAGCCCGCACCAAGTCAGCACAGCACAGAGGGCCAGAGGGAGTGGGGCTGGAGTCCATGTGGATGTGGTGAGCACTGGRACTGAACTGGGTTCAAAGGAAAGGGGACAGGCATGAACTCTTTTGAGTCCTCAGAATAAATTAACCCTCCAACTCCCTCTACTCCCAAACTACCCATCTGGAGAAAGGGGAGGCAGCTATGAGGGCCAAGAGCATGAAGTCATGGAAACTCAGGCTGCAAGAGGGGGGCCACATGTGCCCTGGGAACGGGATGAACTCTGGGCTCCGTTTATTTCCACCCGGTTGTCATGGTGATGGGAGGGGGGGGCAAGGAGGGAGATGGGTCTTTCCCTTTCAAGGACCTGGCCAGGCACAGGCATCCATGTGAAAGATGCCTGAGGCCCGGGCACCAAGGACCTAGAATCAGGCCCAGCCCCCTCCCTCAGACCCAGGGTCCAGGCCCAGCCTCCTCCCTCAGACCCAGGGTCCAGGCCCAGCCTCCTCCCTCAGACCCAGGGT